ACTACTTCATCGAAGTTAGACTCGACACTTACCAGTACATGGGGTTAGTTGTACTGATACTGCACTCTGCACTTTCTGTGCAGATTTTGGTACCGACTCGGGTTGATCGAGATTTTACTATTGGACCGCTATCCGGAGACTCAAGGTAGATATGTCGGCGTTCACAGACCTTGAAGTCCCCGTCTATCTTTTCTGTTCTACTGTTTCTTTCATTTAGACAGTTGTATTTCTTTCAGACTATTACTTGTAGTGAATTCTAGAATGCTCGTGAATTATGACTCTAGATCCGGATGGTAGAAATTAATGCAGTTTTTATATTATTTCGCACTCACTATATTTCATGTTAGCTAATTATTGTTAGTTACTTAATGGAATAAGAATTGGTTTAATGATTCTCTAACGTTGGCTTGCCTAGCAAGTGAAATATTAGGCGCCATCATGGTCCCGGCGGTGGGAATTCCGGGTCGTGACAACATTGAATATATATTATGAATTTATACTCTTTAAATCACAAACCTAATTATAATAATCGATAAGTGAAACACAGAAAAGAAATATTTATGTATTGAAATTAATAAAAATAAATCATATGCAGTTATTCACCAGTAATTTAAGGTAGTAGTTAAAAGAGCTAAAAGAAAACATAGAGAACGAAGGTACAAATATTCCTTATTAAGTTAGCTATACAAATCAATATTCTTTTTAAATATAAATTTACGCACTTATTTTATAATTCAAAAATAATATTTATATAATTGTTTTTAAAAATTTAATACTCATTTAGATAGGTTACACGCGCAACACATGTAGCGTAAAATATATTAAAAGTACGAAAACCCTTAACGAAATGTCATTCACCTTTTCTAGCCTTTAAAATAGCGATCACACTAGATAAAATTGTTAAATTAACTATTTTCCTAATATTTATAATTATGGAATTAATAAAATTTCTACTATTAAATATTATCTTATTTGAAGTATCTCCTACTATTTAGGAATCTAAAGTTAAACTAAAATTTAAAATATATTTAAATACATTCCTTATTTGAATTGGATAAAATAACTATTCGCCTGTGATATAATTCTTCCATATATAATAAAGTGATCTTAACTCCAAAAATGTTAACCCTCTCACTCGAGGTAGACATATAGTTTATTTTATAACTATGAGTATGTTTCCTCCTCAAGACACAAACAAACCTAAACATCTATAAAACTTAAAAGTATAAATAAATGCAAATAAATTATTTATTGGAAACAACAAGGATTTTAGCTTTATAAGCATTAGCTATTGAGGTGTAGAGAATTATTTTTAAAAATTACCTAGATAGTTAATTTTGAAAAATAAATAATCTGAAAGTATAAAATAACTATTGAAGTTCTAAAAATGAACCTAACCAAAAGTAAAAATTCCTTTAACAAATAATTCTAAGGTAAAATAACAAGTAAGAGTTGTTTAATATTCAAAAATTTGAAATTAGCTAATTAAATTTCACAATAATTTTGATGGAATATAGTTTAAAGATCAATGTTTGCACTAAAAACTTTTTGAAGATGAGTATAATCTATCTATTTATATCAATACTATCATACAAACAAGAAAGTCTAACATGAAATGTTGATCAACTTTTACCCTTCACAAGCATAGTTCGTGTTGAATAAAACCATAATTACAGTTAATACCTTATTTTTAGTAGAACTAAAATTTAAGATTTTAATGACTTCTATGGGATAGAGTTCTTTCTTTATTGAGTTAGCTAAATAAGATTGGCATTAATCATCATGTTTATGATTTTAAATTTTTTTCTTTTAACTTTTATTATGTAATCAAACACAAATTATAAAATATTATTTATAACACTTTTGTAAAATTTACCTGAGATGAGGTACACGCGCAAAACGTATACCCTAAACTAGTCATCCAAAAATATGCGTGCTGAAGTGAACACATTTTTATATTGTGAAGATTTATCATAAATTTTATGCACTAACTATCAAACTATTGCAATTCTTTTTCTTTATTAAACTTTTGGACTGACAAATGAGCAAGTTCAAAGAGTCAGAGTTCTTTCCCTTTTTGTTAGTCTCATGCTTTTTATGTTGCAAACCTTTAGTGGAGTTTGCAACAGAGATATCTTTATTATCTAAATGTCAATTCGTGATAATACTATTTTAGAATGTTATGCAAATGATGCTAACAACAACAATAACAAAAAACTAAGTAAAATTTACAAGTGAGGTGTGGACAAATGATACTAACATTAATAAGAATAATATTTTGCAGGTTTAGTGTGACAAATTGTCAAAAGTTCCTCGTAAAGACTACCTTGTTTAGTCACTCCATGTTACATGCAACAGTCTGTGTTAAGCTGGCACATATGGAAGGATGTTTAAGTGCCTAATAGGAACATGCCCTAATTTTAAGTGTCAAATGAAAAGCGGTGCCATATTTAGGTACCTGCTTATCTATTCGGCATTTATACTAAGTGGTCGTTTGGTAGCTGGTTAGGAGAAAAATTATTCATGTATTGGGGGCAGCATAACTTATGCAATGTTTGGTAGTCATTAGTTATTTTGTACAAAATTCAGCATAACTAATACTTATGGAATGTTTGGTAGCCATGTTTGGAATAACTAATATATGTATTAGCAATACATGAATAAAATATCGAAATGATAAATTTACCCCTATCATTTATACATAAAGGCTTCCTTCTATAGATTGATTTGTATCAAACCCTTTGGAGAACAAGCATGGAGATACCGATGCCTCACTGCTAGGCTCTTCCTTTTCACAATCTATTAGAGACAAAATCAGTAAATAAGTATTTTACTTTAAAGTTTATATAATGTATATCAATTTCTAATATAACAAACAAAATATTCAAAAAAAATAATACATTAGTAACTAATATATGTATAACTGATACTTGCATAACTAATCCATGCATTACTTATTCCTGTATAACTGCATAACTAAACATGTATAACTAATACCTGCATAACTCTAACCGGCAACCAAACGACCGCTAAACGTCTTTTGTCCTTGTCATTGTACTCACCTACTCTTACAGTATCATGTGGTTAGGAAAATGGAGATGAACTAACAAATGGGTACGGCAGAAGAGTTGTAACGTCAATCTTGGAAATCCAGGATCGGATCTCAATACAAGGTGACATATTGTACACAAAATTTTACATAAGCGGTGTCATAATTTAAAAAAAATGAACAAGTGAATAAATTACTATAATGACAAGTGATGTCATTTTCTGTATGTAGTCCCGATATTTTTATTTTTCTTCTTGTGACATTAGTTGTATTTTTATTTGTCTGAACTGTGGAAAACTTCACCCAATAGTCTATGAAATATTTCGTATAATCAATCGAAGTACGCACAAGCTTCTCAAATAGCACCATCTTTTAAGAAAGAAGTAATAATTTATTACTTTTGATCACGCAACCATGTATCAACGCTTAAGCCTAGTATTAATACGCCATAACTTGTCGCATATATACATAGCTTGCTTGACTGTGAGATTGACCGATCGAACAGAGACGATAGTCGACCATAATAATCTGAAAATTTCGTGCGAAAAAGCTCTCGCTCAACGGATCAAAGATAGCCACGGATAACAAGCTAATGACTCCAAAGAAGCTTTTAAGGTCAGGAACTTGAACCCATAATTCTACAATCTTGGGCCTAGACCCTAGTTTTTGGGCACGCTGGGCTGTGTTCGGATGTTGATTTCAGATCTATTTGTAAACAATCCACGTTATAATATGTTGGCATTCGTCATTTACTTTGTTTTCTCGGTTGGCTCTTTTAGACACACGCATCATTTGCTTTGTTTTCCGTGGTTAGCCATACATTAACTTAAATTGATGCTTAATAGTTAGATTAATATTGATTTTTTTTCATTCTTTATATTTCAGTGTTTCATAATTTTGTAATTAATTAACTTGTTAATTTCTCAGTGAATTACTTGGAATGCTTACGCCATTTTAAAGTTTTTGCAAAAGAAATGAGCCAAAAAAAGAAGAAGAGTAAAATGTATAATTCATACTTAATCCAGTCGACAATTGATGTAATAATTACGTGCAAAGACTATTTTTAACCCCCCCCCCAAAAAAAAACCCAAACCCCAAAGATACCTAAATGTTCAAAATGAAATGTTTTTCAATATAGATCAAGAAAGAATTTTTTACATAGAGCAAGAATGAATTTAAGAAAAATGATAGTGTATAGTCGATTTTAAAATAAGGTAGGAAAATGGGATGAAGCCCGCTGGAAAGCTTTTGATAAAATAAAGGACTCCATTTTAGTGCCTACAACGCCAAGAAGCCTTTATTGCTATACCTATCAGTTATTGAAACCACTATGTGTTGGCTTAATATGATGAAGACAGACGGAAGTAAAGGGCCATATACTACAAACATAAGAAAATGACCGACTACAAGATCAGGTGTACCAATTTGGAGAAAAGCTGCTTGGCTTTGGTTTGGGTTATATATTATATATATATATATATATACACACACACATATTATGTATGTTATATACAAAAAATATATAAATTTTATAAACCTTTGTGGTTATCAGATGTAAATAATTTCGACCGCAGGCTAAAAATAATTTTTGTCCAAGAATTTATCCCTTTATCCGGTTTACTAGATTTATTTAATGCAAATTTAAATTAATCGAACCAATAAATATCAGAACTCATATACTTAAAAGAGAACAAAAAAAGAGAGAGAGAGAAAGAGAAAGAGTTTCTGGGTGACTGGGTGTATGTCTGTGTACACAACACTAGCTGCTATTTTCTTCTATTTTCATTGTTAGCATGTTAGTGAGTACTCTCTGTGATTCTTATTTTAATTAAAAAAACCAAAAGAAAGAAATAACATAAATGCTGGTAACATATTTCAAAGGATACAAAAAATACATAAGAGGAGCCAAGTAGTTTATCATCCATTATTTTATGTGGGGTGGTATGTGAGAGATTCCAAAGACAAAAGACTTAAGTTTCATATATAGCAAATATTAATTCTGTTTTTGACAGCTCAATAAAACAGAATCCAAAGAATTAAAGAGACAAATCAGGAGCTACAAAAGAAAACAAAGGCACACTAATAAAAGCCAACACCACAAAAAAGGAACATAAAAAACAAAGAAGGTACAAAAATATATGAGAAAAAAAAGATGATACATTAATAACTATGTGCAATTATTAGGTGAGATATGAAAGCACCATAATAACTAAAAATCCCATAGTCATCTCAACAATTCCCATCCATTTCCTTCTATCTCCTCCATCATTTTTCTCATTAGCTGTAGTTGCTGCTTTTCCATTAGAGCTCCCACTAACTGTAAAAGGAAAGGTCATAAATGGAAAAATATTACTCAATTCGTTTCATTTTATATGAAAGTGTTTGAAACAATATAACTTAAGCACTAGCAAACCCAAGATTTCAAAGTCGTGAACGCTCGCCGAAAAGAGTTCCAAAAGAAGGGGGAAAGGAGTTTAACCGTAGGTGTTCACTCAATGCTTATCTAATTTTTTAAAAATAATTTTTATGTAAATCTACTAAATTTGGTAAAAGTCAATGTGTGCTTAGCTTAGCACCCGCAAGGCTCCATATAGGTTCGTTATTGAGCTTAAGAAAGAAAGAAAGAGTTTAACACATACCAACAATATCGATAAACTTGCAGTTTTCACATGTCATAATTAACATTGTCTAAAAAAAGAATACGTCATAACATTTTTATAGCTATACAAACATGACATTAAGGATAAAATATGAAGTTTAAAATTAAGAATTTTCAAATATAAAAAAGTATTTTTTTAAATAAAAAAGAGTGACATATAAAATGAAACAAATGCAGTATCAATGATAAGACAAAAAGCCTAGTTTAAATTTAATCAAATCTATTAGATTGATTTTGTAACTTTTCATGTTTACCTGGTGCAGATGAAGCACTAGAACTTGCTTTTGCACTCTTTGCAAAATCTTCGAAAACCTTAGCATCTGGTGAATTTGGTGGCAAGTGCAACAGCTCTGGACATAAATCACAACTCCAAATGTAAGAATACATCTTAGTATACATTTTTCTTTCACTAGTAAAGCTTGTGTTTAGCAAAGTTTATAGGTAAATGACTAAAAGAGTCCGCTTTAGGAGACCAAAAAATAATTTAATTTATATATACCGACAATATAAAATTAATGATACAGTCACACCTCTCTATAACAGCTTTGTTTGCTCCAGATTTTTTTAGTTGTTATAGCTAAGCGCTGTTATAGAGAACACATATTATAGCATAGTATGGAAATTGGTTCCAAAAGAAACTTGGCTTTTATAATGAATAGTTGTTATATAACAATGCTGTTATAGAGAAGTCTGACGGTATACATATGAGTGCGATGTACTTACCCGGGCACATCGATACATTAGCTGAATTAGCAGGAGCATGACATAGAGTAGGAAGGCTTAGTGCAAGAGTAGCATTGATCTTAAGACCAAGGCTAGGATCATTTCTATCTTTCACCAAAACACAAAGGCATTTCTTGCTCTTGTCCAAGACTTCTTTTAGACCGGTGCAACAATCCGGTGTGGGAGCTTTGGCGTCTCCGCTAACATAAGGAAGACACGTGGCGAGACCGACGAGTTGGTTAGCACATTCTTCTTTATCTTTGTCAATATTTGCTCTTGACAACCCTAATAAGATCAAGAAGAAGAAAGAGAGGAAATGAAGTTCAAAAGTAACAAGTTTTGAACTCATTGTAACAAATTTTGAAAGAATATTTGGGAGTAGTAGGAAAAAAGATAAGACAAATGAAGTGATGGGAAAGTTTGGTTTTTATGCTTTGCTTGTGACAATTGACTTTATTGATGTGGTACGAAAGAAGGGAGGAAAATGGGTGTTGATAGGAGATGAAATAAATAGGTTAGTTTATTATGGTTTGAAGTCTAAAAAGTTAGGGACACCCTAGATGCTTCACATGTGATATTGCTATCTTTTCATTACTGTATTAATAATTAAACTAAAGAACAATATTTCAACATATTCTTGAAACAATGTTATTCTTATAATGGGAGGGTATACAGTCTTGTTACAATGGTAAAAATTATCGCTATGTGATTAGGAGATTTTTAAACCACGAAAATAACCTCTAATAAAGATGTAAGGTACGACTGCTTACATATGACCCAATATGTTGCCCTTCCTGAAGTCTCACGCATCATTAACAAGAATTTAGTGCACCGAACGCCTTTATTCATATAATAATGATCAAATCTCATATTTTCACTTTATTTCAAAATCAAAATAAATTATAAACAATAGAATTCATATGCTTTTAGTGACCAATTGCACTTTGTAAATTAGCTAGTTAGTTGTGAAATGACTAGAGAGTGACTAAGGAGCACTTTATCCAAAAGAGCTCAACTTTTATACACTATCATATCATTTGAAATATTATAACAAGTAATTATCCATAAAAACTCAGATTAGTAACTATATATATTTATATATTTAAAACCCTATTTTTTCCTAATATTGTCGATTGAATTTAAGTAATTAGTAGTCTAAAAACATAATTTGCTTGCTCTGATTAAATACTCCGTAATTATTGTGACATTGCCATTTACTAACAAAGTCACCGACTGCATTAAAATTCAATGGTCCCCTTCTTGAAAAAAAAATGTACTGTTTCTGTCATCTTCCAAAAAATTCCATTTTCATAATACTTTTGCTTTCTTTACTCCTTGAGTAGTTCCATTTTAGTTTGCTTAAGGATGGATGAATAACACTATCTGACAGTTGATATCTTACCTTAAGATAATTATGACCTCTTCTTTTAGTCAAATACTTTCGTAATTGAATGTTATTTGTTACAACTCGGGGTAGTCGCTACAAACATAAACATTGGTGGCAACTAAACTTGCCGCAAATTGCAGAAAAAGAATAGAAATTCAAAAAATGCACTTTGACTTTTGGTGGCGACACTGTCGACTTTAAACTCTTGCTTGCCGATAATTCCCATAAAAGAATACTAAAATCTTAAAAAAAAAAAGAGAGAGCAAAATTAACTCGATAATTTGACATTACGGAGGAAAAGAATTAAGATAATATGTCAGAATAAGTTCTATATGGCATGAGAAAATAACTCTATTCTTTCACAGAGTTAATCTTTAGAATCTTACCCATATGTAAACAAAAATCAATATTAAAACCGTCTTTTTATTAATATTTATCACACATATTGCGTTAATTTGAACCTCAACTATAAATTTTATCGTCTAGCATTAAATCCTAAAAATTAAAGAGAGTATTCAAATTCTCTATGCGAATAAATTTAACCTACTAGATGAATAAATTAAATAAAAGTTATTTAATCCTCATCTTCAAGCTAAAACATCGACATGAGTTGCTAGTTTTATTACATAATATAATATTTTATTGTTTTATAGTGATTTAGTTAGAAGTGAAGCTTTCTTCTTCCTTTAAATCAAATAATTAGTCAAATACCTTCGTAACTGAATATTATTGTGAACTGATCAAAAAAAAAAAAAAATTTATTTGTGAAGATTCAGGGTAGTTGCTACCAAAACGAACATTTGGCGACGACTAAAGTTGCCGCAAATAGCAGAAAAAGAAAAGAAATTCAAGAAATGCACGTAGACCTTTAGTGGCGACCCTGTCGGCCTTGTGTGGCGATTTTGTCGCCACTAAAACCATTATTTTGGTCGCCAGTGTAATAAGCGATCTACTGGTATTAGCGGCAACCTTTTACTTTTGGTGGCGTCTTAAGTCGCCGCTAAAATCTTGTTTTGATTAAAATTAAGTAAATCTTACTACTAATTGCTCAAATAAATGAGGCTAATCTATTCAAATTACAATGCAAGTACCAAACACATTTTTTAACATCAGTACAACTTTTTATCGCCATAATATAAATTAAGCAATTCTAAAGAACATTTCAAACATGGAAAAAAATGAATTAACAATATATTTTTAAACTCTTGTTTGGCAACAATTCCTATCAAAGAATACTAAAATATTAAAAAAGAGAGAAAAACCGCACTTAGATAATTTGATATTAAGGAGGAAAAGAATTAAGAACATTTGACAGAATGAATTTCTACATGGTATGAGAGTATAATATTATTCTGTCAAGAAGTTAACCTTTAAGTAGAATCTTCTCCATATATAGAACAACTAATTTTAAAACCGTCTTTTTATTTATATCTATCACACATGATGCATTAATTTGTCCGCAACTATAAATTTTACCGTTCTTCATTGAATCTTAAAATGTAGAGAGAGTATAGATATTTGATGCTGATAAATTTTTATCTTATATATTTTACCTACCATACAAATTAATTAAATATAACTCAATTAATTCTTTCCTTCAAGCTAAGACATCGACATGAGTTGCTAGTTCGATTACATAATGTAATATTTTGCTGTTTAAAAGTGATTTAATAAAAAATGAAGCTCTTCTTCTTTTAAATAAAATAATTAGTCATATTCCTTCGTAATTGAATATTTTTTGTGACGACTCAGGGTAGTAGCTACAAAAATGAACATTTGGTGGCGGCTAAACTTGCATAAATAGCAGAAAAAGAAAAGAAATTCAGAAATGCACGTCGACATTAGTAGCGACACTTAATTTCTACTTTTAGGGGTTAGTATAGTCGCCACTAAAACCCTTTGTTTAGTCGTTGGTATGAAAAGCGATGTGGTATTACTATTAGTGTCGACATACTTTACTTTTGGTGGCGATGTAGGATGAATAAGATCCTTTTAACCTTACTAATTAGAAGTTTCTAGTTCAGTTGTCTAAGACTGATTTTTATTTGGTATAGAGCACTTGTTTAATAAATCTTATGCGATGTGAATTGATTAATCAGAACCTCAACGTGAATACTGAAAACATGATGAAACCAACAACAACAACAACAAAAATTGTCAATATTATCTGAATATAATTTTCAGAGTTATTTTGTATGTTATTTTTATTATTATAAAAAGGCGCGTTATAATTGTTGAAATCCCTCAACGCTATGTCTCGATTTGAGCATCGAAAATGGAAAACTTTTTGTAGTGAGTGTTTTACTTAGAGAGCCTACTTGCTATACAAATTCTGAGTTGGTCGAGTCGGTAAACTTCGGATATCGAATGAACTTAAAAACTTTGGTAAATAAGTAACTATAGTTGTAATCTGGTCTACATATATAATACGGAGAAAATAAATAACAACTGTTAAACTGAAAAGTTTGTAACGATGTTGGTCATTATTATGTGACGATATACATTTAAGAAACGAAGAAAATACATAATATCTTGCAAGGGTAAATAATGGAGATGCTAGAGAACAAAAATACAGGATATAGTGTAAGTCAGAAAGACTTATAAAGTAGTAAATGGAATTTATTTAATCACCACTTGTCATTTTTTAATTTTGAAGACCTTATCTTGTATTTAAAAATTGTAAAAATAACTACTAATATAGACAGGCTTTTCTCTTCTTATTTTATTTTCTAAAAAGGAATAAAATTTGTTTCTGATCTTTATTTTGATTTTGTTATTATTCGACCAAATAAAGCCAAAGATGTAAAACAAAATTTAGTTAAATATCAAATGATAACACGTGAAGGATCGAGATTTGAAAGAACTAATCTTCTTTGCTTTTTAACCCGTGACTATATTCTGTTTGATCTATCCGTGATTATACAGATTAGCCAACTCAATTTTAAGGTCATAATTTAGACCAAAGAAAAGAATATTTGTCATTTAGTATGAATATTATTATTATTATTATTATTAGAATGAATCCTTTTGTGATCCTTTTGTCCCTTCCGGTGTTTTAAAAGGCGTGGGCGTAAGGCGGGGCGTAAGCTCCGAGGCGCGGGGCGTAAGCCTCATGGGTATTTAATTTTTAATATTTTATAAAATAATATAATGACAATTAATATTTATAAACAGGTAAATTGCATAAAAATTGAAGAAAATTATATATATATATGTGTGCTCCATCCCCACAAAAAATTAATCAAAACAATCTATTATACGTTACTTACAAACACAAGTAATTTGAGTCTAAAAGAATAAAGTTTTATATATGGAGGAACAAAAAGGATAATTAACCTGCAATTTGAACTTTGAATTTGATGCTATGAAGAAAAATGTAGTTCTCTTTGTATTTGTAAAAAAAATTAAATATTCGTTGTTTTTGGGAGATATTAGCAGACTAGCGGACAAGATAAAAATTTTGGGAAAATCATGAATTAGGGCTTAAATCAATAAAAAAGGTCTTTACTTTTAAAGTTAATACTTTTGAGTTCCTTTTTAAACCTTTTGAGTAATTACCAAACTCACTTTTGAGAATTTGGGTATTATATGAAGGACTAATTCAACAAATTTTGTTTTAATTTGAAAAAGTCTCTGGGGCTTACTCCTTACTAAAAAAACGCACCCCGAACGCCCGGGTGTACGCCCTGAATTGCGGGGCGTACGCCTCTTGAGACTTTCGCCCCACACCATCGCCCCGGGGCTCGCCCCAGAATCGCCTTTTAAAACAGAGGTCCCTTCCCATGGAAAGAATATGCAATTTCCAGCTTTGGGACCCTTTTTTTTTTTTTTTATACTCAATGATAGAATGGATCATGATTTTCTTTATATGCTTTTTTTGAATTTTATCGGAAGCAACCTTTTTACCCTCACAAAATAGAGAAATATTTGTGCACACACTACCTTTCACAGATCTCACGTATAAGACCGCACTGTTATTGTTGTTGTTGATGGAATCGATCATAATATTATATTCCTTTTGAACTTGTGATCCTAAAATTCCTGAACTTAACATGATCATACAACTATTTTAGATAATGTACTTTTGT